GAGCAGCCTTCATGACTTTGTCGAGTTCGCATGTGACAGCTTGCCTGCATTTGCTCGTTACCGTAAATGCCACCACTCAACAACTGATCATTTGGGATTGATGGAATGATTTCGAGTACTTGAACCTGTGCCTGTTCCGTGGATGGGATTGTGTTGGTTGTGAAGCAAGTTGCTGGTCTGTAGTTTCACATTCATATTGGATTAGTGAGGAGGAGGAGAAGATCACACGTGTATTGTTTTTCGCGTATTTGTTAAATGTGCATTGTTTCTGTTAGTTGATATTGATGAAATTCACCTGCCCATTCTCCACTTTCAAACAGGTCAAGCTGTTGTCATGAAATGCGAACACTCCACTACTGGTGATCCGATTTGTGTGAAAGCAGTAAAGAATTTCGGACAGATCACTGCTCCAGGTGACAGTGGTGGACCTCTGCTTCGATCACCTCAAGGTCCAGTGCTTGCTGTTGTATCACATGGTGTGCAACTTGCAAGTCGTGCAGATGTTCTCGTGGAGTATGCCAGTGTGGCTAGAATGTTGGACTTTGTACGTTCGAATATTTGAATGAGATTTAGTATGCATCAGATTCGTACATGTGTGTACATAGAGTATGTAAACGAATTCATATACAATTGTGTTGTTACGTTTTTCAATGAAGAATAAACCATTTGTTATAGTACAGTATTCTATGTGTTTTTTGTATTCTTTGGGGTGTTTGTGGGTGATGATTTGCGTGGTCGTTGACCAGTGAATTGTTAGTTAACTTAGGCGCTGACTGGAATACTTTGATGGGAATATTTAATAAAGTCTGACGAACATGGCGGTTTGAATAAATGAATATCTGTTTAGCAACATGGATTCTTATGACGGGAGCAAACAAATTTTTTATATGATGACATATGTACTAGTTCTTTTCGGAAATGTATTCATGTGATCACTGAACATTCTGTCAGTCTAATTGTCTGTTGATTTCGACGTTACAACATTGTTTCTTTCTGCCATAACTCACCGTCTATTTGGTCCATGACGTATATAGTATTATTTATGTAACTGATTAGTGAAGTTTGTGACTCTACTCGTCACTCGAATATTGGGAAATTTTACATCGACTGATCGTTTTAATGATCCTACTCAAAGGTGTGATGTGAAATACTTGCCAGACTATTCGCCTCATGAATTAACGTGATTATGCTAAAATTTTTGAAAAGGTTGTCTGAAAATTATCAGTTAGTATTGATCGCAATGTATTACACTTGGATTGTTTCTTCCGACTATCCAATGTTCCACTTTGTCAAACATAAGTATCATTTGAACGAGTCGCAAAAGGATTGTCACCGACTTTTATTCTGATACATGTCTGATAATTTCAATTTGTACGAAGTTGGATCAACTTTGGGCTGGTAAGCATTGAGTGTGAATAGTAAAACACAGTCTCACGTGCTCTTTCCCTCAATTCAACATCCTAGTATCAGCACACTCGCAGCAGAAACGAGTATTGTACTTTTAGTAAACCAGTGTTGACCAGATCTGTTACATTCATATATCAGATTCAAGCTAGTTATGTCACTGTTGCATAGACATTAAATCCAACACTAGAGGAAATCTCTTTAGCTGGATAAAATCTGACAATGATCGAAATATTTGAAAGTGTACGCCGACCTCCTGAATGCAATATTACAACCTCCAACTTCAGTGTGCCACAAGCATACGCACAGATAATGTTACATCGCTTATCATGATTTCATGTCACGTCGAATAGTTTCATGATATTTGTACTGGTATGGAAGTTGTTTATTTCGATAGAGTAGATAATGAGACAACCAATAGAATGTTTATTCATACCTCTCTTCTTATACACGGAAAATATATCTGTGTAACGGTGTGTCCTTTTTTCAACTTGTATCCTATTACATTTCATTGTTCTATTATGATCGAGATTTTCATTTCACACTTATCAACGCATCAATGTTCACTAGACATGTTTCATTTGCCTGAATGTTATTAATTTCTGTGGACCCAATGAGAGGCAATATTCAGTCTTATAGACAGTTAGTTATATTTGAGTAGTGTATCATAGTCACTGAAAATTGTGGAGTGGATTATGAACTTTCCGAATGTTGTATGAAGAACAATTGAAAGACTGATAGTACGAGATGTTGGACAGCAGGATGTCATCTCGTACGTGGTTATGCAGACATAGTTGAAAATTCATTGTATCAAACAACTAAATATTGAAATGTGGTTTTGTTCTTCAAACTGTTCAAAACCGATTATGATTGGATTATGCTAGTTATAACATTTTAACTCCATATGTGGTTCTTCTGAGTCTACTGCCATTCGCCAGCCTTAATGAAGGAGAATTTTTGAGCATGAGTTTGACCACCGCATCTTTTATTTTTCGACTGTATCGCAATGCATTGTTATGTTACCATGTAATATGGTTCTCTATTTTGTCACCCATCATATAGTCAGGGTTATCGTAGTCTCAGTGGTCCGATGGTAAGGCGTTCGCCTACAATGTCAAAGGTCCCGGGTTCGAATCCTGCGAGGAGCAGGAGTCGTGGATGCGCACTGCTGATGAGTCCCATACCAGGACGAAACGGCTGTCCAGTGCTTCCGGGTTTCTAATGATGGTCTAACAATGATTGATTGATGATTTCAATGATTTGAGTCGTCTGATGATTAGGTTTCATGTTCTCGTGCGAAAATCGTCAATACTAATCAGTTTAAAGTTTATTTCTGATAAAATCAATATGATCATTGTTTATAAATCAATAACTGTTTTTTTAGTGATTGAATTCTATTTTAATACTTTCTGATCGATATTACTGTCATCAGAAACTACTCACTATTTCCTAGTTTTGTAGTGTGTACTCATATGTCAGTCCCTCATTGCTTGTCCCAGCCTTTGAACAAATTAATTGATTCATACTCTTGCGGTGATTATTCAAGCATCTTTTGACTTGGTCAATTAATCGCTCATATCTTTGATTGTATTTACTTGTGCGTATGTTTGCAGTGCTTACGTTGCTTATCACATGTCTCACTTCATTTTGTGTGACTATAAATGGTTAGTCATGCCTTTTTACAGTGAGTTTGCTCAGTCGCCTTCTACGCTTCAGTTCCCCGATTTTTATCCTTATTTATGTCTGCATGAACGATTTTGTGAAATAAACGTATCCAACTGAATCCATATTTGGCTTCCGATTACCACCACTGTCTCATAAACGAGATTCACCTAAGCATCATGTTATACAGAAATGAAAGGGTAGATTGAAAAATTTTATATCAGACTTAATCGGAAGCGTCAAAGTGTCTACCATTCACAATATTGAATGTTTACTTTGAGAAAGCACCTATGAACAAGAGAAAATTTCCTAAGATAGAAATAAGCGTTTTTTCTTGTTACAGACGTGTTAAAGTCGGTCATGATGAAAGGAAACCTACCTCATAGCCAATAGTTATTACCTCCTATTGAATTTATAATGTAAATTATTTTAAAATATGTTTAATTCAGTGATTAAATAGACAGAAAATATAACCTTTATTGTAAGGTTGTGTAGATTGTTGAGTCTGATTCCCGAGTGCAGGGATATACATTTCTGCTAATCAGTTCCATACTAAGAGGAAACGGTCGTTCAGTGATTCTAGGATTCATGTTTTCAATTTGAAACATCATCTTTATTGTACAGCGGTCATCATTTAAATGAGACTAAATCATTTCTAGTGATCTATTTCGTATACTTTCATCATTTCCCTACAGAGTTCGATTGCTTCCCCTACATTATAGCAGATGCCAAAGAAATCCGAGTTTTAAACCCTAATTTATGTGTTCAGAAGAAATTTTTGACGCCTCTATCCCATTCTCGGCCCAACATGACTTAGTAAACGAGTTTATTTTACTATTAGCAGGGTTTTTAATTTCTTTTTGGGCTCTTTCTTACTATATTTATCCCTATTTGATTATGTTACACACATCTTATTAGGTAACTCTAATTTCAAGTTTATTTATCCAAATTCTAACTACTATCACTACTACTAATGTTGAACTATTGTTGGGGACATCAGATTCCCAGAATTCACTTGATAAAGGCCTTAATTTTGGGTTGACCTTGAGAGTACATTTCCCAATCAGGAAAATCCTCGACTCACATCGGTTGATGTATTATTTTAGTACGCTATTTTTAAGGCTCCCCAAGGACGTTTCCGTCTTGCATAAATAAACTCGATTTGTGTGCTTCTCGGCCTCATATTTTCTGAGTGCTTGTAGAATACACTTTCTACCTCTTGTCAAAACTTCTTCCTCTAGTTAGTGGGGCTTAGGGACACTCGGATTAGAGTAGCCTTTTCTGTCACTGGATCGTTTACCGAATGAGGTGAACTCATAATAGTTTCAAGCATATCAGTTGATAAGCATAACATATGCACAGTTACGTAATCTCTATTTCATTGGGATGATTGACAGTCTAACCACACTTTAACTGTTTAGAAATAGTTCACATAAAAACTTGAAAAAAATTACGTTGACCAATTTTCTTATGGTAAAACACTGATACACATTCGATACTTTCATGAATAAACAAACTACAAACGGAAACACAAAACATTCCTCTTACGTAATCCATCCTGGCAACCACAGTTTTCATGTGGAGGGTGGGGGTCGACGGAGTCGATGGGAATAAATTATTCCCCCCCAAAAAATTGGGAAAATTATTATTGATCACTGGATGATAACTGTGAACAGACATCTTGCCAACCAATATCTGTCAATACAATAACCAAATCTGATTTGTTCTCTTATCGTAGTAAGCAAGATAATTATTCAATTATACACACGTCTTTGTAGGTTACTACTGATCAGACGAATCAGTAATACAAACCTTATTCTAATAATTATGTTTGATCATTATGATTGGTTGATTCAAACATCATTCAATCATTCAATAAAAATTTCTAAGCATCGAACTACATCATAAAATATACACAGAGAGAGAGTGTGTGTGTTCGCCAGTGAATCCGTATATTATCGAAATTACTCCCTTATTTCTTTTTTGGAAAATCTAAAACACTAATCAGACAATTCCACGTGACAGCATAAAGAGAGCTGATATCTAAATATCTATCTATCTATCTATCCATTTATCGACTAATAATTCATCCTACTTTGGACCAATGAAATAATGTTCTACTATAGTAGTCATGAAAGAAACATTTTCTAACATTTTGAGATTGTCATAATCAAAAACAAAGTAGAGACATTGTGTGTTTTTGAACGAAGCGCGAAATTGGAAAATTAAATTAAAACAAAACAAAAACAATGTCCTCGGATGAATTGAAACAATCATTTTTAGCATTTTGTAATTTTGTCAAAAAAGGATCAACTACAGCAACAGATAAAACATTGAAAAAAATTTGTACAGATTGTCAAATATATTCGAAAAAATTAGATGCAAATCGTGTGGATATTGAATTTCGTGCACATATTGGCAGTGCAAAAAGGTAAATATTGTTTTAATTAAAAAATTTCTTTGATTGTTTCAAGTATGGTTGAGTTTCATTGAAATCATGAATTAATTAGTGTTAGACTACCTTTAGAAACATGTAATCACTGTAGAGTCGTTTTGTCCTAGTATGGGACTCATCAGCAGTAAGCATCCACGATCCGTACACACGGAAGTCGAACCTTGGACCTTCAGTCTAACATGCATACACTTAACGTCTAGACCGCAAACGAAGGTCCTAGGTACAGTTCACCCTTGTGAGGAAAGTGGATGTACACTGCTGATGAGTCTCATGCTAGGATGAAACGGACGTCCAGTGCTTCCAGGTTTCTACTAGTGATCTAAAATTGGTTGATTCATGATTTAAATATATTTTTTGTAAAGATCAACAAGATCCTAGTTTAATCCACAATAAATAGCCGAAAAAAACCAGCAAATAACTGGTTTTACAAGTTACGATTTATATAATTCCGGTTTTCGTTTTATTTAAGCCTATTTTAAACATTGGTTCTATGTGGCACCCTAATGTTTATGCGCTACACAAACTAATGAATTTGTGGCTAGGCAAGGATACTTACTGTCTGTTTGTCTAAACTTTCTACTCTCTGGGTTGTTTGATCTAGAGGTGTTATCGCCAAGGCAGGCGAACACTGTAAATAACCAACTTACCAAGAGAGAAATCAATGAGTAGGGCTTCCGTGACAGTGGCTTAATGTTGTACATGGTCATATGAGAACATTTCGAGAAAGAGAGACAAAGAACTTACTCTTCTCACTCTTGACCGTACTAGGTTATTGAATTTGATTTGTGTTTTACAGAGAGTTTTATGTAGTCAACAAAGTTAGGTTCTGATGAATAGATAAGCAAAATCACTATGATTTTGAACTGCATCACAAGACAAGCCCTTACATGGAATCCTCAAGGTCAAAGTAATAGGGGAAAGCCAACAAACACCACATTAGTGCCGAAAAATGGAGACAGGCCTGAGGAGAAGAATGAACGAAAAATGGACAGAACTAGAAAGGAAAACTCATAACAGAATAGGTCGGAGATTGTTGGTCGGCGGCCTATACTCCACTAAAGGTAACAGGCGAAAACAAGTAAAGTAACCAGGATTTCGACAACGAAGTTCGAAATCATGCGTGTATTTAGTAAGTAGGATGAACGCTATCCACAGACTTAGCTAGATGTTAGCCACGATTACACAGATAAGGTATGACTATGAAATGTGCAACGAACAAGAGTTTATTTTAAGTAGGATTCCTGTTGGATGGGTACAGTCTCAAATTTTTTTAGAAAATCTCTCGGATACTAAATCAGATTTTTATTTTCCCCTGTTAATATTACGTGTAGAATGTTCTGTATTTTAACTTCATTGAGAAAGATTTACTCATAAATTTGTTAATTATGTTGAAGTTTCTTTCACTGAGCTAGATATTAAGGTTATGAAGTATTCATTGGACATTGAAAACTCCATAACCAAAACATCCTGCTCAGAGCAAACAAATCCACCATATTTGTTTAAAAAAACCGATTAAAAATCCCACTAAAGGTGTAAAATTTAAATTTATAGAAATCAGTGTTTTGTATTTTAAGTTAATTGACAAAGAATTACTCAGAAGTTTGTCATTTATTATGGAATTGGACACTGAAAACTCCATAACTAAAATATCCAGTTTAGAGAAAGCAACCCCGGGGAATATTTGTTTCAAAATCGATCAAGAATCTGATCAAAAGTGGATATATTCAGGATGAACATGTGGATAAAGACAGATCGTAAAGGTCAACACTAACCAATCAAGATCAAGGTTGATGAGATTAGAGATTTGTCATACATGGAGGGAGGAATTTATATAATTTAGTTCAACCTGAAGTTTGTGTTGATAACGTTGTTGTTCAAAAGAAGAACAATGATGAAAACTCGCACATCCTCAGCTCAGATAATGAAACTCCATTCTACTAATCCAGCTCAGATATAAAGTTTCTCCACCATCTCAAAGCTTATCAATAATTTATCAGAATGTTTATGCACAGTCCGAGAATCTAAAAAATTGTGGAAATCTTTCGCATTTCAGGAAAAAACATTTTCAAGTTTTCATTTCTTGACATTATCAAAATTGAACATCAACTCTGGGATTCAGGTCTAATCCCAAATAGAACAAAATACACGTGCTGGATTCTACTGTTAACCACTATCCATCTCTGTTTATAATGCTTGTAATCTAATAGCAGTATTGAGGCAATCCGTAGAGGACGTATTTAGGGCAACAGACCAATCGATTCCAGTCTTAACTATCATCAGTGGGAAGATTCAGACACTATCGATGTACATGAATAAAATCTTTACTTCATTGAACAAAACAGCGACTATGTGAACTCAATAATTAAGTCAGTAACGTGATAGGATTTGAAGTGAACAGAGCTGAGTTCGAGTTTCATATTGAAGAATATCAACTGTCTCTAGGATGTAGCAGGTACATCCAACTAAATGTCATCAGTTCCAAATAGAATGAAATGCGCTCGACACTGGATTCCACTGCAAACCACTATGCATCTCTGTCAATAATGTTTGTAATCTAAAGGCAATGATGAGGGAATTCACACAGGATGCACAAGTGTACTTAAACCGACTGTTCACCAGTACACTCGCTTAACAATCATCCATCCAAAAATTCAAACCCTTAACCATCGCAGACTAGAACAAATTATCAACACATTCTTATCTCGCTCGAACAGATTTCAAACTGTTCAGATTGACCTTATTCGAATAGATTAATTGATGATCAAATGGCATTTAGTTGAATCTGAAACATGATTTTCTTTTTTGGCATGAAAGACACATTATTATTTTATGTGTATATCTAGTTCACTGATTTAGTCCGCAGTGAATTTCATTTCAAAATGAGAAATTACTAATAATATCAGTTTTAAAGCAAGAAACAATCGTTGTTACAGTGAAACCTCAATGAATTCTTCATGTTAGGATTGTGAAGATTGTTGAATTTCATTGGGAAATCATGAATCGATGAATGTTAGATGACCATGATTAGAAACCTGGAAGCAACGGACGGTTGTCGAATGATTGATGACTTCAAATAGAAACTCAACAATCTGCACAGCAGTAGAATGAAAATTATCATGTGCTTACTACTAATGACTAGTTTGATGAGGAAATTTCTCCAAGTTCTAATGAGAAGTTGTGACCAGAGGAGTTGAATCCTGTTGGGCAGGAAGCAGTACCCACCTGAGACGATGGATGAGGTTGCCCAAGATCGTGTGGATTTATCTAAGCTTGTTATGCATGCACGTAAACATGTCAATTTGATAGGCTTGAACTATGATGAGTTTACCTTAGTCAGTAGAAGAGAGCGAGGATCGAGGATCTGGCAACAAGACATGCTACTCTAATTCGATTGTCCTAACCCCCATTGAATAAAAGAAGAAGACTTGATATGAAGTAGAACATGTATTGTACGAGGTCCGAGTCCAGAAGAGAATCAAGATCCCGAACTAAGGATCCGGGTTCTGGTCCGGGTCATACAACGTTACAGATAGGAAACAACATCGAAGTGTCTGTAACATTGATAGTCAGGACGACCATAATATTGACCAGTAGGAATCGACCAATAGAATTATATTTACAAAAATAATTCTCTTAGGATATTTGATGAATATCCTAAGAAAGCTAGAGATTAACTCTTTTGGTACCGGCTGACTGAGTGTTCCAGATAACAATCGTTTGTGTGTAAGACTGAAAGTGCTCGCTTTGATTCCCACAACTGAGGATGGTTGATGTACACCTCTGATGAACCAAAAACAAGGATGAAACGGTTTTCCAGTGCTTCCAAATTTCCAATGGTGGCCTAACAATGATCGGTTCAGGATCTAGTTGAGAAGACGTGACCAATGGAGTTCAACCCTGTCGAGTGTAAGCGGTAACTACCAAAAGCAAATAGGTGAGGTCGCGCAAAATCCCTAGATCAATCAGAGTTAGACATTAACACCGTTGAATGCCGGCCAAGTGGTTCGATGGTAAGGTGTTCGCCTACAATGCCGAAGGTCCCGGTTTCGAAGTCTGCGAGGAGCAAGAGTCATGGATGTGCACTGCTGATGAGTCCCATACCAGGACGAGACGGCTATCCAGTGCTTCCAGGTTTCCAACGGTGGTCTAACAATGATTGATTGATGATTTCAAATGTGTTAATGAAAAAAGTTAGAATACTGACAGGAAAAATCTTCTACTCTCTGTTTTATTACCATTTACATACTTTTTTTATGCATTAAAAATTGAAAATTGAATCTTAATCTTATTGTTTTAAAATGTTTGTCAACAGATTTTATTGTTCTCTTTTGTAATTTGATATCAATAATAGGAAAATTTTTATTCGGATTTCCGTTTTCTGATAAGAAAACAATGTGAACTATTCTAATCCTACTGATTGCTTGTTTCAATCTGATCAATAGTCAATGTTTTCCAAACAGAATGGATAGTTTCATTTCATGATTAAGGCTTAAAAATTAATTTATCAATTAGAGTTATGGAGATTAGTGTTTTGACACACATTTGAAATGATTGATTGATGATTTCAAATGTGTAAAAAAACAACACTAGCTTCCATAACTCTAACTGAAAATATCCCAGAATGTGCTTACTAGTGACTAACTAGCTTGGTGAGGAAATTCTCGAAGTTCTAGTTGGGAAGACGTGGCCAGTGGAGTTCAACCCTGTCTAGTGTAAGCGGTAACTACCAAAAGCAAATGGGTGAGGTCACGCAAAATCCCTAGATCAATCAGAGTTAGATACTGACACCACTGGATCCTGGCCCAGTGGTCCAAATTTTGGGCGTTCGCGCACAAGACCAGAGGTCCCGAGTTCGAATCTTGTGGGGCACATCAGTCGTTGATGGGCACTGCTGTTGAGTCTCATACGAGCGCGAAACGGTCGTCAAGTGCTTCCAGTCTCTTAATGGTGGTTTAACAATGATTGATTGATGATTTCAAATGTGTATAAATTATTTAACTGAACAATATGGATCAACCCTTCTATTGATCAAGTGTTTATGCTTACTGGACGTTCATCTCTTCCAAATATGAGACTCATTTACAATGTGTTTCCATCACACCAAAAATGGAAATTGTACCCAAGACCTTCAATCTAATACACATAAACACTTAATCTGTTTACTGACCACTGAGCCGGTATTGGACGGTTCTCATATCTAATTTGAAGTAACTCATGGTATAGCAGGAGTATCATCCATGGTCTTCAACGGACGATTGTTTCATCCTGGTATGGAACTAATCGGCAGCGTGTATCCATAAATGGATAATTTCATTTTATGATTAAGAGATAAATTAATTCATTGAACAATATGGATCTATCGTTTTATTGATCGATTGTTCATGCGTAAAGCCATCTTGATGTACTACTGGTCATCTATTTCTTACAAGTATGGAACTCATTGACCATGTGCATTCACGACTCTACAAATGGGAATATTACCCAAGACATTCATTCTCACACATGGCTTTTTAATCTGTTGATCATCCAGCCGGCATTCGACCGTTCTAATTAATACCTAAGTTTATTCAACCCATAATATTGTGATACTATCGTTTATGGTCTTCAGTGGGTAACTGCATCAACACCGACGGTTCTGATTGCCCATATCCTCAATCTTTTGGGCATGAGGCAGTACCCTAATCGAAGACAAGGGATGATGTGGCGCAACGAAGTGGATTGATCGAGGATAGAACACTGTTGGGTGCCGACTGGCTCAGTGGTCTGGAGGTTAATCGTTCGTGTGTAAGACCGAGAAATCTCGTATTAGCAGTCAACAAAAGATGCATAAATATACTGTAACAGACTGATCACAGTTCCACTCTCTAACTATCATCATCTCATTTTTCCACTCTCTTTTTCCTCATTTTACTACTTTTTTGCACAGAGATGTAGATTTCCCAGGATTTGTTAGTTTTTTGGAAGGTCGATTAGCTAAAGTCTACGCAACTGCCAATGATATTGATCAACAAACTGCCATTAATGAATTAAAACGGAAAATAGCTGAAACATCACCGGCAATACATGGTGGTACTGTAAGTCAAGTTGATACCTTTTTTCTTTCATGAATTCTACTTTCTTGAGATGATGGAGAGAAGATGTGTAGCTCAAGTGGATGAATGATTGTGGTGGTTGGTTTGGTTGTGCGAGTTATCATCATTCTTCTTCTTATGACTAATAACATCAACAGTACAAACTTCAGGTGGATAGAAGTGAAGTGTTCTACATATTCTCCACATTATATGACTCGTAGGATAGGGACATTAACCCAATTTATTAACCAATCAGAAAACTCATAGACAAACATATGATCAAGAAACAGATCAAAGGAGGGTGGTACAGTCAAAATAAAGGTACAAACAACGACAGGTTCAAGGTCAACAGTAACCAATCAAGATTGAGGTAAAATAGAACAAGCTATGAGTCATACTATGTGGAGAATATTTCGAATACTTCACTTCTATCTGTTATTTGTGCTGATGATGTTGTTGTTCAGAAGAAGAACAATGATGAAAACCAAGACACCCAGCTCATAGAAGGAGACTCCATCACAGTTTATTTTCTTAAAAAAGATTTTGTTTAAGTTTTGTAAACATCACGGTGCATTCTAACTCAAAATATAGTTAGGATATTAGCTTACAAAAGTATTGCAAGCAGAGATGAATGGTGGTTCGCAATGGAATTCAGGAAGAGTACAGTTCATCCTGTTTGGGGGTCGCATTTATCTGGATGGATCTGTATCTCCTGGACTTGAACTCAGTACCGTTCACCTCTATAAGATCATCGCGTTGCCCCATTTAGCTTCTGAGTCCAGATAGCTATTGGCTTGTACAATAGGATGATGGATAATTCATTCCTGTTGGTAGATTGAATATTCCCCAATAGGTCGAAACGAGCGTATTGGATGCTAGTCAGTGTCCATCTCTAACTCACTAATCGTCTGATGATTAGTTGATAGTTTATGAAACAAACAGATACAGACTTAGCAAAAATACTTTTCTATGACTATCATTTTAGAAAAAAGTGTTATCTTTATGAAATGCTAATTTTAGAGTTGATATTTAGCTCTGATAGCTTCATTCATGGTTATTTATTAAAGATGTTGACATTTTCTGATTTGTCATAAAGTTTGAACATAGAATTTCAATTTGATTTGTTTAAAATAATTCCTTGGTTCATTAAAATCGAATTAGTAATTGTTAGGCATGTCATTTGATATGCTTGAAACTATTAATGATTTCAACCTCAGTCGGTAAACGAGAGCGAAGACAAATGATCCAAAAACACGATAGGTTACTCTAGTTTAAGCGTCCCGAGGTCCCACTAAGTAAAGGAAGAAGTCTTGACAAGCACCCAGAAAATATGAGATCCACAAGCACACAACCCGAGTTTATTTATACATGATAGAAACGTCCCTGGGAGAGCCACAAAAATAGCATACTAAAATAATACATCAACCAATGTGAGTCAAGGATTTTCTTGATTGGGAAATGTAATTTCAAGGTCATCTGATCAGCCCATGCTCGAAAACATAAAGTCCAAAATTAGGACGTTTATCAAGTGAATTTCGGGGCATTTAACATCCCCAACAATATTCACAGACTGTAAGAACTTTGTTGACCTCATAACCTTCATAAATCATTTTGGGAAACTTTAGAGACAATGTTGATGTTATCAGTCACACATAAATTAAGAGTGGGCTAGCAATACTAATCAAGTTGATCATTCTCAAAAGTGTTAGGATTAAATTTATTCAGAAACTAATCGAAATTATTTAAAAGTAAAAGGTTAGGACAGCTATAATTTTATGAAAATTCTTAGTTTCTTACCTAATTACTCCTAATGGACTACAGGCCCTTGACCAACATTCTACAACCAACTCTATTTTGTGTAGTCCTTTCCATTTCTAGCCTACTTCTGTTCATTCATATGACGTCTGTTTCCAATTCTCGGCACAATGTGTCCCTTGGTCTTCCTCTTTTCTTTTGGCATTGAGGATTCCTTGTTAGGGTTCGACAGGTGACGTAGTCTATTGATTTCCTCAATGTATGTCCCATCCTTTTCAAGCACACTTTCCTAATTTCTTCCTCTTCTGGAATGTGGTTTGTTCGCTACTACAGTAGGTTGTTGCTGATGGTGTTTAGACAACGGATCCTCTCTGTCTTAATACAAACCTCTATCTTCTGGATGATAGCATTTATAGTTATCCAAGTTTCCGCTCCTTACAACGGAACTGTCTTGACGTTCGCATTGAAAATTGTGACTTTGGCTTTGGTTTGTAGTTATTTTGAGTTACGGATGTTCGTCAATTGCAGAAATACTGCCTACGCTTTTTTGCTAATACATGCCTTCATTTCTGCATCAGATCAACCTTGTTTATCGATGATGTTGTTCAGGTGTGGTATAGTTTTAACATCTTCTAAAGATATAATGGTCAGGAGTATACGATACTTAAATAAACGATATTCTTTACTTTCAAGGTATTGTAGCTTCCCATTCTCTTAAAACTTCTTCGTCAAGTGTGATTCGGCTGGTTTCGACTGTAGCACTTAAGGATCTTGTTTCTTTCGGTGTATATGTTGGGAACCTACTGCCGCTACACTGACCAGAATAGCTAGATCATCCATGGAGTCTAAATCATCCAACCATAGCCGAGCTATCCATTGTATTCCGTGCTTGCCTGGATGTGTTAACATCTTCATAATTCCGTCAACACCAAGAGAAAGTGAACGGGTGAGAGTAAGCATCCTTGTAAAGGATCAACTACCCCAAAATAATAATCACATCAAAACACGAAATTGTATCAGAATACCTTCTTTTAATAAGAGTGTGATTAACGAAATTGAAATGACGACGAGAAAAGGAATATTTGACATTGAAACCAGGCTAATGAGTACAAAGAATATACCTAGGGGAGTTGGAAAACCCTAAATTCAAAGTAATGGTACACATTTGCCCCGAAGAACCTACTGTCGGTCATGGTCTATCATTCAACCATATCACATAACCTTGTTTCACTGCCGTGTAGATTAGACTTGGCAGTTTAAAAGCTTATGCAGTAGCTCCGAAAGAAAATCACTTGCTTCAGATTGGGTTACTCAAACACAAATTTATTGATTTGTGGGGCTCATGTATACTTTTTTAATATCCAATCAAACTGAGACTTATTTCCATCGATCATTACAAGCGAGTATGGTTAGTTTCACCCAATTGCGTCACAACACAAGCTCTCACTTAGGAATCCTTAAGGATCCTTAAGGAAAAGACGTAGACCAGAAATCAAAACACATTACGCCAACAATTGAAAACAGACATAAGAAGAATGAATAGCGACTGAGTAGAACTAGAATGAAACAGACCCAGGATAGAATAGGATGTAGAATGCTGGTCAACGACCTTATATACTCCACTTGGAAGTAACAAGCGTAAGTGTATAGGACGTACATGGCAGAAATCACTTAATTGCGTCATCACACAAATTCTAACTTAAAAATCCTCGATGCTTGACCAAGGAACACATTGTGCCGTGAATTGGAGACATACATGACAAAAATGAATGGTAGTTGGTTAGAATTGGATAGGAATGTCCAAGACAGCGTATGTTACAGAATACTAGTCAGTGGCCTTATACTACCACTTGTGGGGGGTGATAACAGGCGTAATTTTTTAAAATTTTAATTAATTCAAAATTTTCACAAAAATCAATAAATTTAGTTAATTTATATATTTTTTTTCTATTGATTTTAGAAAATCAGCTCTGATCCAACAATTTCTCGATTAACTGATGTGAAAACATTTACTGGTTCACATAAAGAACGTTTCGATGTGGAAACTGGTAAAGGTCTAGGCAAAGCTGGTCGTGTCGATCCATCGCCCTATTTCACTACAAGTGGTATATCAGCGCCGAGAAAGTGAAAAACACGCACGGAAAAATTGATAAGCGTACATATTTCACAGTTGTATATATAAATATATAGATATATATATCGAGATGCAGAAACAGAGAGAAACAGAGAGAGTTGATAAAAACATCTCTACATAATCACGTTGTTTCGCTATTATTCACCTGTTTTGTTTTCATCTCATTCAGTGTCATTTGTTCAATTTCGTTCATTCGTTCATTGATTTCATGATGGCGATGACGAGCATGATCATGATTATCATCCATTGATCACATTGAACAGTTTTCTTTTTGTTTAAATTACTTTGTGATCAATTTTTAAAATTATTCAATATTGTTGTTGTGATTTACTACTACCTACTACTACTCACACTACTACTAATACTAATACTACTACTCCGACTACTACTACTACTCACACTACTACTACTTACACTACTACTACTGCTAGTACTACTACCCACACTACTACTACTACTACTACTACTACTACTACTATTAGTACAACGTGTTTTATTTGATGTTCAACGTTCAATCTTCATACATGAATTGAATATTTAATTTTTAAAGAAAATTAAAACAAACAAATTACACTCATCTCATGTGATTTGCGAGTAATTATTGAATGAATGAATGAATGAATGAATATTTGTGTGTATTTGTTATTTGGTTTTAACATTGATCATTGATATTTTATTTGTAAAGTTGCTTTCATGTTTAAAATTTTATCCTACATTACTTGTATTTATTGATTAATAAGTTTTTTTCATTTTCGAAAAATTAATAATGACGATATCTATATATACTCTAATTAAAACAAAGAAAGTAACAGTTAAATTTAAAATGTGTTCTAATGTGATGATAAGCATGCACGTAAACACGTCGCTTGAAATGCTTGAACTATGATGAGTTTACCTTAGTAAACGACAGCGAGGATCGAGGATCCGGCGACACGATATGACACTTTAATACGAGTGTCCCAACCCCCCCCCCATTGAGTGAAAGAAGAAGAATTGGTACCAAGTAGAACATGCATTCTACATGCATCCAGAAAGTACAAAGTCCGAGTCCAGAAGAGGCTGAGAATCCCGGACTAAGGATCCGGGTGATAAAACGTTACAGATAATGTGTATTTATACTGTTAAGTCGAGTAAGAAACATTGACAATTAGGGCGACCAATAAAAGTCTATCTAAATGTAGATACTAGGCGAGATATCCGTTCGCAGACTAAAGGACGAGTGTACTGCGCAGCGGTTCGCTCCGTCTTACTTTATGGCTGTGAAACATGGACAGTCAGAGTAGAAGATATTCGTAGGTTATTGGTTTTCGATCATAGGTGTCTTCGAAACATTGCTCGTATATCCTGGGACACCCGAGTGAGCAACGCTGTTATTAGGAATCGGGTGCTAGGTAAGAATGGCAGATCAATGGATGAAGTAATGAAACTTCATCAGTTGAGGTGGTTAGGATATGTGCTGCGTATGCCTAACCATCGACTGCCTCGAAGAGCTTTGTTTTGTAATGTAGGAATAGGTTGGAAGAAAGTTAGGGGTGGCCAAACCAAAACATGGCAGAAATCCTTGAAGTCATTGACGAGTGGACTGAGCCATGTCGGTAGTTGTCGACTAACTGGTTGGTGATAATAATCGATGGTTAGAGACCTTGAATGACATGGCTCAAAATCGTTTGCAATGGCGCCGGTGCATTTATTCTTTGTTTTCTCTCAAATCCTTATCTTCTGTATTCGTCAGCACCTCTAGTTTTGACTTTCTAAACTTTTCTCACTGAATCATATTTCTTGAATATCTTCTCATCCTAACCTCTCCGATTACTTCTAATACCTTTACTACCTCTTCTACTATTGGATTTGAATTGACAATTATATCTCTGTGTGCTAATGTGGTATGGCGACATGAACTGATGTACTTACGTACGAAGTTCTACGTTGCATCTGACTGACTGACTAGGATAGTTGATGAATATCCCTTAACATAATGTAAGCAATCTTTTCATAGAATGATGGTACTTGTACTACTTGCTTACAAATGTTGCCCCTTAATAGAGTATAGGCAGTGAAGTGTTGTCCAGAAGTTACTACAGGAGAAAACAACGTGGGATCGGAAAACATGGTGTGATCAAAGTGTTTTAAAGACACAGAAGACATTTTAAAGAAGACAGTCAATCATCTGCTTCTTTTGCGAATAGATGTCTGAAGAGGGAGAGTACATATTTTTTTACTAAAGTGTGTCTTCTGCAAGTCGTTCTTATTCACTGCAATGCGAGGGACAAATCTATATATTAGCGACATCTCAAAGTTTATCACTAGTGAAGTTGAATATTGAACAAACATTGTGTTTGTGTATTGATATAAAATGCAGAACAAAGTAAAGAATCAATGATAAACTTTACTAAATTCAATGGTCAAGAGATTAAGAATTTTACGCGCCAGATTTAAATATCGTTTGTAATTCGTAGATATGCATTGTTGATGAGCTTCATACTAGTAGTATACAATGGTGATCCAGTACTTCTAAGTCTCCATAAATGGTCTAACATTGGTCAAATGATGATTTCAATGAAATTTCAATAACAGAATAGAACTAAATAACAGTTTTCAGAATTTAATTATTGCATCGCAGTTCACAACTTTTAATCAAATTGTCAAATGGCGTTGAAAGTTTTATTCACTACTACTGAGATATAATTTTGTGTTGCGTCATAAAACAATGACATCTACGAGTAGCTGCAGTTGTGGATACACACTGCCGATTAATCCCGTACCAGGATGAAACAATCGTCCGTTGAAGACCATGCATGATACTTGATTTATACCATGAGTTACTTCAAAATAGATATGAGAACTGTTGAATACCGGCTCAATGGTCAATAAACAGATTAAGTGTTTATGTGTGAGTGTTGGGTACAATTTCCAATTTTTGCGTGATGGAATCAAATTGTAAATGATTTCCGTATTTGCAAGAGATGAACGTCCGGTACGCATAAACACTTGATCAAGAAATGGGTTGATCCATATTGTTCAGTGAATTAATTTATTCACATTTGAAATCATCAATCAATCATTGTTAGACCACCATTAAGAGACTGGAAGCACCGGGCGGCCTTCCCGTCCTGATATGGGACTCATCAGTAGTGCTCATCCATGACTCTGTGCCCCAGAAGATTCAAACCCCGGACCTTTGGTCTTGTGTGCGAACGCCCAACCTCTGGACCACTAGGATCCAACGGTGTTAGTATCTAACTCTGATTGACTTAGGGATTTCGCGCTACCTCACCCATTTGCTTGTGGTAATTACCTCTTACACTCGACAGGGTTGAACTCCACTGGTCACGTCTTCCCAACTAGAACTCCGAGAATTTCCTCACCAAGCTAGTCACTAGTAAGCACACGGTACAATACTTTCAGTCAGCGTTATGGAGAATAGTGTTTTTACACATTGGAAATCATCAATCAATCATTTCAAATATATGTGAAAAACACTAATCGTCATAACTCAAATTGATAAATTAATTTTTAGTCTTAATCATAAAATGAAACTATCCATTCTGTTTGGAAAGCATTGATTATTGATCAGAATGTAACAAGCAATCAGTGAGATTAGAATAGTTCAATTGTTTACTTATCAGAAAACGGAAATCCGAATAAAAATTTTCTATTATTAATATCAAGAATTAGAATGTTACAAAATAAAGAACAATAAAAAATCTGTTGACCAGGATTTTAAAACAATAAATAAAATCAAGATTCAATTTTCAATTTTTAATGAATAAAAAAAAGTATGTAAACGGTAATCAAATAGGGAGGAGAAGATTTTTTCTTTCAGTATTCTGACTTGTTTCATTGTCAGTAGGGATCAGTGATTGTTAGTCCACCAGCAGAACAACACAAGTACTTGATAGGTGTTTCATCTTAGTATGGGGCTCATCGGCAGTGCGTATCAACAATCCTTGCTTAAGGGAAATTAAATCGAGGATATTCAGCCTTGCAGGCGAACGATTAACCTCAATATCACTGAGCCAGCCGGTACCTAACGAGTTAATCTCTAGCAGTGAACTACTGTTTCATCAAAGCATGCGACTCATCATCAGTGTACATCGATACATGATCCCACAAATGAGAATCGAAAACGAAAGCTATAGTCTTAACTCACTGACCAGTAACCCAGTATCTGTTAGGATATTCACCAAATATCTTAAGAGAATTATTTTGATAAATATAATTCTATTGGTCAATTCCTACTGATCAATATTATGGTCGTCCTAGCTATCAATGTCACAGACACTTCAATGTTGTTTCCTATTCGACTATCTGTACCGTTTTATAACTCGGATCCTTAGTTCGGGATCCTGATTCTCTTCTGGACTCGGACCTCGTACAATACATGTTCTACTTCATATCAAGTTTTCTTCTTTTATTCAATGTGATGTGTTGGGACAATCGGATTAGATTAGCATATCATGTCGCCAGATCCTCGATCCTAGCTCTCTTTTACTGACTCAGGTAAACTCATCATAGTTCAAGCCTATCAGATTGACATGTTTACGTGCATACATAACAAGCTTAGATCAGTTCACTATCTTGGGCAACCTCATCCATTGTCTCAGGTGGTTACTGCTTCATGCTCAACAGGATTCAACTCCACTGGTCACAACTTCTCATTAGAACTTGGAGAAATTGCCTCATCAACCTAGTCATTAGTAGTAAGCACATGATAATTTTCATTCTATGGCTGTGTAGATTGTTGAGTTACTTTTTGAAATCATCAGTTGATCGACAACCGTCCATCATGGTCATCTAACAATGATCGATTCATCATTTCACAATGACATTCAACAATCTCCAGAACCTTAGAATGAGGAATCCAGGAAACTGAATAAAAGAATTCATTCAGGTTTCACCGTAACAAAGATGGTTTCTTGTTTTAAAACTGATATTTTTATTAATTTGTCATTTTGAAATGAAATTCACTATGGACTAAATTAATGAACCAGATATACACATGCATAATAATGTGTCTTTCATGCAGAAAAAATTAATGTTTCAGATTCAACTAAATGGCATTTGATCATGAATTAATCTATTCGAATAAGGTCAATCTGAGCAGTTTGAAATTTATTCGAGCAAGATAAGAATGTGTTGATAATTTGTTTTGGTTTGCGATGGTTAAGGTTTGAATCATCGGCTAGAGGATAGTTAAGGCAGTGTACTGGTGATAAGTCTGTTTAAGTATACTTGTGCATCCTGTGTGGAATGCCTCAACAATGTCTTTAGTTTACAAGTCATATCCACAGAGATAGATAGTAGTTAGCAGTGGAACTGATAGTGCGCGGTTTACGTTCAATGCAGTTGAAGAATCTCGAATACGATGAAACTCTGATCGTCTATTCCACTGTTATCCAACATTCATCTCTGATAAGAATAAAAT